TTTTTTTTTTTTTTTTTTGTGGAGCCAGAATTGAACTCAGACTCTTGCACTTGCCAGGCAGGTGCTTATTCTACTGAGCCATCTCCCCGGTCCCAATTAGCCTGTTTTCAATCTGGAGCCCGACGCTGGGCACTGTTCAAATTGCAGTATGTGTAACAAGACTTAGGCCATTTTGGGACTTGGAGGAAGGGGAAGGACAGAGCAGAAGAGCAAGAGGGTGAGGGTAGCCAGCCAGACCTTCTGTGGTAGCCTACCTGTGGCCGTCACTCTGAGGACACTGGCTCAGCTGCTTGGGGTGGCAGAGGGCACTATCCTGACAGATGGTGACACTGAACCCTCCGGAACCCATCCCCAACACTTAGCAGGGATGTGATCAAGGGCAGTTCATTCAGCTGCCTCCAAGTATAGAGACTTCTGGGGGATGAGGATTGCACTGGGGGTCAGGAAACTGGGACGCTTGCCCCGCGCTTTCCTGGCTTGGTGGCTTTGGCAAGCCATATGAGCTCACAGGCCTGGCTCCCTCCACTATTAAGAGGGATTAATATCTTCACTAACTACCTCCAGAGTTGTGGTGAGACCGTAATCAGACTATTGGGTGAAAGCACTATAGGGGCAAGACGGTGCGGCACGGAAGCAGAGGAGCCGTATTACGGTCAGCTCATCGGTGTGTCCCCTGCTGTCCTGAGTCTGCTCTATTCTGAGCAACAGTGACATCGTCCATGTGTTCTGGAGTAGGGGATCGAAGCATGGCATGATGGAGCCACTGGAATTGCTTCACTTGTCCCCCAGAGAGGAGGGGGGTGCCCGGGATGGGGTGTACTCCTGCCTTGTGTCGGCCCTCCCTCCTTGCAGAGGGCTCAGGAGAAAGCAAGCAGAGGCTGAGGTGAGAGGAGGGTCTGGGATGCTGCTACCTTCTGTCACCCCTGCAGTGGGGCAGGCTAAGTCCTAAGGTATTGCTGGGGGCCCAGGAGAGATGATTGTCCCAGTGCTCCAGGAATTATCAGGCCTACACAGCAATGGT